TCAAATAAATACTCGGATAATATAGAAAGTGATAATAAAATTAACAATAATTATAATAATATAACTTCTCAAAACAATGAAATATGAATAAACAATTAAATATCATTAATTAGTTTATTTTTTAGTTTATTATATCTTCTTTTCAAATGTATTTTTATTATCTATTAATTTATTATCTAATTATCTTGTTAATTGTTGTATTATCCTCTTTCTTTCTATTTTATTCATCACTTCCTTTATTTTATTACAACATTTTCAATAGATAAGAATATAAATAAAAAAGAAAATAAAATATGATTGTTATGATCTGGTTGTTGCTTTTCATTAATCTTGTATCATCTCAATTTTTGAGTATTAAATCTCCTATTGATGAAGTCAAATCAAAACATTATTACGAGTTGATGGAGAAATTACATCAAAAGGGATTTTATTAACAACGGAATCTAAAAAAGATGGACTTATTTCAACAATAAAAGTTTGGTTATTTCACACTTTACACTAATGATTTAGTATTAACAGATACAGACACTTCCAACTAATTTCCAAATTAATGGAAAAATAAAGTCAGATGGTATTGGAAAAGGGTTTGCATTATGGTTAACAACAAAACCAATTGTTTCAGGTAATAATTTTGGGGGTAAATTTACTGAATCAAGTGAAGGGATTTATGTAAAAGTACCAACAGATTCATCAAGGGGAACAACAACAATCTACAATACAGAAAAACAATTAACTCAATGCACTTTTCCTAATTCTATTCATTTTGAAAGTATTTCATTTGAATTAAAGTATGAAGAGAAAACAAATAAATTGATTATTTCAATAGGAAAAGACAAAGGATGATGTGAAATGACATATGAAGGGAAAATGAAACATATGTATTTTGCAATATCTGCATTAGATGATAAAAATGGTGGAAATCATCAAATTAAATCACTTGAAATTATTGAAGAAGAAAACAAAAAGTACTAAAGAGTTATTAGGAAATGATAAAAGTATTAATGGATTGAATTTTGGTTTTACTGAAAGTGAATTATTTAATGATGGAGATGATATTGATTTGGCATTACAAAAAATCTATTTAGTATTAGGAAAAGTTCAACAACAAGCAAGTAAATTAGATAGGTTAAATGATGAGAATTCAAATTTAATGAAAATGATTGTCAATGGAGCAAAACATTTAAATGAAATGTAAAGAGTCAAGAACTTATCATTGATACAAGTGATATTCTTGTTGATGTAGATACATTTATGGAAAGATTAAGAGCTATAGAAGAAATTACAGGAACAACAACAAATGATCTTAAGATTTTAATTTCAACAACAATATCATCTAACAAAAATACAATAAAAAATAATGAAGCTTCTACACATACATTCTTTTGGATTTGTTTCTTTTTAATGCAATTTTGTACTGTTGTATTGGTCTTAAATTTATTGAAGAAGAAAAGAGATATGAATCAAAGAAAAGCAATTTAATTTTAATTTAATTTTATTTTCATTAAACAGAAAGAAATTAAAAGTATCTTTATTTAATTCTTGAAATAACAGATGAGAATGGATTAATTTTTGATAATGTAGATTTAATATTTTTAAAAGACTTTGTGATAATTCTGTTGGAACAACTTGAGAAGAATAACATTGTTCTTGTTTATCA